TGATAATTTTAATAAATAATATATATTTCAATATTATGTAGAATGCATATATATATATATATAGAGGTAAGATATGATATATAAAAGAAGTTGAATACCCGATCCGTATAATAATTAGATAATCAATTGTTAGCTGTTAGTAAAGTCATCTATCTAGGATAAATGAGAAATATACAAAGATAGTCGTCAGAACAATTCCTATAAAAGAAATATGAAAAAATATTCACGTTATTTAATAAAAAAAAAAGTGGGAAGAAAGTGTTTTTCCATATAAACAATCTTTCTCTCTCTAGTGTAATATGAAACAGAATAAAAAAAAAAAAAAAACAAAAAAAAAAAAAAACATTTTTAAAATAGAACATTTAAAGAAAAAAATTACATCTATTTTTTTAAAAAAAAATTTTGTTTGTTTTTGAATTTCCCAATTTTTCACACATTCTTAAAAAGTTCTTAAAAACAATGCTTTTGCAATACTGTTAATTGTGCCATCATGTGGCATCATTCAATTATCTTGATAACTTACTAAACTAAGAAACAATTGGTCACTTTTTTTTTTTAAAGCATTTCACCCCAAACAAGGTGAGCATTGACTTATATGTGACGGTTAGAGTAAAGTGAGGAAAAAGATGGATATTGGGGGGAAATTGAGGAAAAGACTGAAAAGACATATCATCATTAGCATCAGAAATGATGTTGATTTTAAGCATTTCAATTTTTTTTGAGATTATAGTTGTCACTAAGCACGCAAGGGGGTTACAGAGAGGAAAGTAAGAGAAAAGAGGTTGGTTCAGAAGAAAAGGGATAAATTTCAACAAAGGAATAGGAACAAGATCAAGGCATCAGAAGATGTCAATTGACATTACATTTAAATTTTTGAAGATTATAGTTATCAGGGAAGCAAGAAAATATTTAAGGAAAGACAGATAGAAGGAAATGTCAGTAAAGAAAGTGACTGGAGTTGAGAAGAGGTCAAGACTGATCATTAACATATCTTCTTTGGATTTTGTCGAAAACCTCAAGATGAACAGTGGAGATGCCAACCATATATAGTGAATGAATATCAAGCTCTAATTTTTGCAATATAGGAAGGGTACTGTATTGCCCAAACTTCTTGTTTTATTTTTTTTACTTTTTATTGCAATGAGCACTGTAAAAAAAACAAAAAAAATAATCAAAAATTAATAATGAATAACACTATATACAAATGTCTGCTCAATGAAAATAATTCTAAACCCTACCATACAACAGCAATTGAAAGAAGTAGGGTGTGTGTAGGTGGAAAAAATAGTAGATGAAACATGAAACACAGGACAGACACACTAAATTTTTTTTTTTTTTTTTCCACACTGGGGGAAAAAAAAAAAAAAAGACAAAACAAAAACACATTCTCTCTCTGTAGTGGAATGAAAGTCACAATTTTGCAACAAAATAGAAAGAAAAATGGATAAACAAAGCAAAACACACATGCAAAAAAAAACAAAAAAAAACAAACATATTTCTTTGCTTGTTTGGAAGAACGGCTGTGGTTAATGCTTACAAAAGAAAAAAAAAAGTAGGATCACTGGCTTACTACTTAATTATGTAATTAAAATAGAAAATGATTATCAATAAAAGGCATATTCTTGGCCTTTGAGCTAAATTATTAATGTACTATTTGTTCAGAATTAAAGCCATGAAGTGAAAATTCCCTTCTATTTCTCTTTTCTAAACTCCTTCAATGTGAATGACAAAATGGAAAACTCCTCTGCTACATGCTTAAAAGAGCTTATTTAGAATAATAAGGGTTTTGCTGATGGAGTCATATATGGGAGAAGGAGGAAGTACAACAAATGTCAGTTACAATTTTACATGAAATGATGAAGATACAGAAAAACTATATACCCAATGTCTGTTGTACACCCCACCACAGGTGGGTGTGCATGTGTGTATACATATATTTATTGTTTTATATGGGTATTAACATGTATGTCTACATGTATTCACATTTTTGTATATGGTCATTTATGTGATTGTCTCACTTACATCATTTATAGTTTTAAGTTATTAATATTTTTATATTAATAAAATTGATAATATTATCTTTATTTTTATCCTTATGTATATATTTTTAGTATTTTTCTTAATTTTCTATGGCTACCAAGAAACTGATTTGTGGACTCAAAAGGATTAAAACAAAAATAAACAGACATAGTATGTCTAAATTATTTAACCAAACCTGTTTGAATATATATATATATATATATATATATATATATAAACTCAGTCTGAAAAGTCCTTTTGAAGGACAAAATATGTAACACATGAATACCCCATTTTGTCATTCAACTATTTGCCCAATATACAGGATTTGTATATCTCCAATAAATTATAAATTCTTTTACTAAACATGTCCATTATTTGGGTAAATGTAAAGAGAGCTGATTTAGCTAGAAAATAAAATAAAAAAGACACAAAGAGAGACCAACATTTGGAATATGAGAAATTACAATGCTGGTAAATGGAAGCTCTTGCAACAATGAACCAAGAGAATTTTCAACTTGAAATTTTCTTTCTCCAAAGCCATGTCATCATAATTAAAACTTGTAATGCTTAAGATTGGAGGTTGCTTGCATATTTAATAAAATTGAAAGAAAAGAAAAAAAAAAAGATATTGTTCCTGGAATGATATTACCTATGGTAATCTTTAAAAAAAACTTTCCCCAAAACACCAAAAATTAAGGGTATTTACCAAGCAATAATTTAAATTTTAGTCATGAATATATTTATATGTATTATAGTAGTGTCATGAAATAAAGACCAAGTTGAAGAAAATAGAATAGATGCTTGGATTAAAAAAGTTTGCCCAATTGTAATTATAGCAAGTTTACTTAGGGTTTAAAAAATAAAAGATAGCAATTATTAATTATCAATATTACATAAGTATTTCATAAGTATCATTGCTTTTATTATTGCTATCATCATCAATAACACTAATCAATGGCACTGCATTATTATTGGCAAGACTAGTTTATAAATATTATATTGTCAAAGAAACTCTTACTTCCTCTAAATGATTGGGTAGTCATTTTCAGCAGTCATTGAAAGCCAAAGGGAATTTGACATGAGTGATTAACAATGACCACTACGGAAACAGCTGCAGGCAGCTAGATCTGAGGACCTCACTGAAATGTTCAGTATTTTGATGTTTGGATATTGAAATACTGATTTTAGGTAGTGAGTCAGGTTGAGTACTTTTCACCACCTTCCTCATATTTTCAGTGTAGCATATATGTGACTTCAGACATTTAAGATCATCACAGACTTGCTATTGCTCTGCCTAGTTTTGAATTTCTACCATTTTGGACAAGGGTATAATATATGCTAAGCTCAGTATGAAAAATAAAAAAATAGATGAACACATTGGCACAGTAGCTAAAAAGCTATAGTTTCATTATCAGAATCAACCAGATGGACTGCTTCACCAAGAATAGTCATGCATCACAACCTGCTGAATTGAGAAACAGCTAGCAATCTGTCAATCTACCAGTGTCTGGAGGTGGTGAGTTTTCCTGCAAGAAGTCAAAAGGATGATGAATATGTGAAAAGTTCAAACTATGCAACCTAACTATAGTTTCTTTTTCACATCTGTTATCCAACAGGAGACCCAGTTACAAAACAGTGCTCAAAATTAATGAAATATGAAATTACAATTATTATCACAACCCATATTAAATAACTTTTAATGTATTACACATCAATTATTGAACACCTTACTGCAAATCTGGCCATGTTTTTATAATTCTAGATTAAAGAGACGTTACCAAAAAATGAAAGGAATGGAGAATAAATTCATAGTATGGAAAATTAAAGGTTATCCCCAGACAGAAGAGAAGCAGTGATGACTACTACAGACATGATGCAGTCTCATAAACTAGTTTATATGATTGGTTGGCTGGTCGATAAATCATGGACATTGTCAACTCATTGGTTGCTTTATTATCATCATGAATATTAATTATACTTTCTTTAAGGTAACATTGTGTCTTTGACTTGGGAAACACATACACAACCTTCATAGGAGGAGAATAAGAGCAGTTTCATTAAATGATATTGTTATAAACATTTTCAAAAATCAATTATAAAATAAAACATCTACCAGGGCAATTATCTTTAAGGCAACAGTTTTTTTCTTTTACTCATTGTTTCCTTCTTTACTTCTTTTTGAGTCATAAAAATGTTCCAGTGTGATACAAAAGTATAAAAACTGTTTTCAGAATTAAAAAAATGCAAATGAGAACAAATTAAAAACAGCTTTAAATAAAATACAAATATTTCACAAAAACTGGTTTCTTTTTTTTCCCTTTTGTTTATCTATACATGCATTAATCTTGTAAGGAAATGTTAAAATAGCTGCTACTGAATGTGAAATCTTCTGCCAGATTAGATTAGTAACCAAAGCCAGCAAACGAGTTTCTCATCTGCAAAGTTTGCATCAAAGATTCACTTGAACACATGATCTGTTAAGAAATCTGATGGAATTTTAAATGCTTGAGACCAATGTCATGTGACTTGATAAAAAAAAAAAAAAAAACTGCTTTGTATGAACTGAGCAAAATTACATGCCTAAGGTCTGGATACATTGCAAGCATTTATATAAGGTATGTATAGATATATAGATATGATATTTAAATATTGAGTTATGAAATAATTGTATTTTGATGCTTATTAGTATCAGCTGAGTAAAAATCAATAATAAAATGAACTCAAAATGAGTTTTGGTTTATGATTGATGAATATTTGGCAGTGTTTCCAAGGTGAGGGAAAAAAAATAAAATAATGATAAAAGATGGTTATGCCCCTTGGATCTCTTTGTAAAAATTATTTTTTTGTTTTTTAAGTGTACAAAATCAGAATGATGTCCACATATTTTATACATGTTTGTGAATAAATGAATGACCAAATTCAAATAAGAGTGTCTGAATAGCAGGTCTATATGATACATTCGTATTTTAAACATGTATTTATAGAGATAGATATGAAAGGAGAGTTTCAGGTGAAAAGTGTTTTATGAAACATTCTTTTGAGACTTGAGATGTAAATGACAAAAAAGTAAGACACCTATAAAAGACTTTTATAGAGTAATCCTGTGTTTTTTTGTCTTCCCCATTATGTTCTGTGGTCGGTCACTCTTTCTTTTTCGGTCTACAGAGTTTACTATTTGAGGAGTTATGGACTTTCTTTGTACAACAGAGGATCGCAGTCTTGGGAGCTTGCTCCGTGTCTCATAGGTGTTTCCTATATGTGATGATAAACCAAGTCTTTGCAGTAGAAACGACGTTGACTTTTTAGGAGGAGTATGAACCAGGACAAACGGCATTAGGTTTGTATCTTTGTCTTTTGAGGTAATTGTAGAATTTAGATTCATGTAGCTGTTGGGGGACATAGTTACAGTAGAATTGATGGGTGCAGTGGAAGTTACAATAGGGCTTGTAGAAGCCAAGCATGTGTCAAAACTGATGTTAGGGGAGGCCGTCATGATTGGAGTGTTGATTGTGTCAAGAGTGATGGAAGTGATAGGTGTGTCAGAATTGTTGAAGTTAACAGTAGTAGTACTGTTATTGAGTGTGAGTGTGTTACTGGAAGTGGCAGGGTCATAAGCTGGGGTAGTAACAAGCGGAGGAGGAGGAGTATTATCGTTGTTTGGAACCCTGTTATTACTATGGTCGTTGCTTGTGTTGCTGTTACTTATTGTCCTGGGTAATGAACAAGAATCTGTTTGGTGATCTCGAGTGGAATGAAGAGAGAAGATGAGGATGTAAACCTGAGACTTGAACACTTCTTTAATAGACACTTGTTGCACTCTAGTATCATTGCAATGAATCCAAGAATCTGGAAAGAAATTACAACTCAAATCAATACAAAAAGAGTAAAACACAATTTTGAAAACCTATTTATGTCATAAATTAAGTAGTTAGTCTCAAGATATTAATAACACTTTTTCTTTTCCTTTGAATATTATAGTGATAAAGCCTTAATACTAATGATTATGACCAAATGTATTTAGACATAACAAACATGGTGGAGCTTGTAAAATTGTTAGATGTATTGATCATGTTTTGATCTGCAATTTGACTTCAGTGATTTGTGTTACCCAGTCAAACAGAAAAATAAGAAATTAAAAAATTCACAAGTTTTATTTAATAATGTTCCTAAAGGGCAATTTAGATAAAAAAAAAAAAAAAACAAATTAATAAATAAAAAGAAAAAGTGTTTCCTTTAAGAGAAAAGGCTCAAAGTTTTTGACTTAATAAAGAAAAATAAATTGTATGCTGTGGTTAGCAAGATCTCCAGAAAAAAAAAACAAAAAAACAACAAACATTTATTAGTTATTTTTAAGGTCTTATTGTGTCATAATTTATAAATTAAATTTTAAATTTCACTATATGATAAAGATGGATATAATATATATAGTTCTGTACTATCCATGGTTTTAGGTATCTTGAGATTTTGGGAAAATTCTAACCTAGCAGAAGAGGGCGGTACTACTGTGCTGTGCATTTCATATACAAGAGAGAGAGAGGGGGGAGCATCAATAATTTCAGTTTGATAGAATTATTAACAGGATTTTCACCTAGAATTTGATGTTTAAGCTATATGATTAAAATTCATCATTAATGCATTGACAAAGTTATGCTTAGAATTAAATATTTGTTGTGTGAAAAAATACTAAAAAATTATTAAACTACAGATTTATGGTGTGTGTGTGTGTGTGTGTGTGTGTGTGTGCACACGCATGAATATGATGTCATGCTTCACTGAATGCCACTCTTACTTTGGTCCATGTCAATTGGTATGACCCTAGCAAGCTTGCTCAGCACCAATCCTGCACCCCCACATTGTCTTTCAGTGTATGCAGGAATATTGGTGAAGAACTGTTTAAGATCAGGCTTGACTCCACTCTGTCCTCAACGACACTCATTAACAAGTGTAAAAATAACTTTTATTTATGGTACTATGATTGATTAAGATCACGAATGCATAAACAAAAGGGATTTGTAGAAGTTTCCTCATATAATGAATCTTAAGCTGGGAGAAAAAGGTCAACTGGCAATTGCAGTTATAGCTAAACAGCCCAGAGTCGTTCAACTATTTAAATGAAGGCAGTTGATCGAGATAATTAAAAAAAAAAAAACTGCACAAAGAACAGGACTACACAATTGAGGCACCATGGTCATCCAGCAGGGAGAGTATTGGTCTATTAGCAGCAAGACCAGTTCAATCCTACTTCTCTGCCCTTTTGGTGAATGCTTTTTACAGGAATGCAAACCTCAATTGCACTGTTCTGATTGGTCAGCCAATAATAATGCTTGACCAATGGTATTGTGTTATACATCTTGAAGGGGAGGAAGAAAAACCTCCAAGAACACAATATAATTGAGGGTCCAATCAAAAATGGCCCTGTGTCATAAGTATCGGAAGGGGAGATGGGAAGTTCCATCCCAACCCTCCTCTCATTGGCAGGCCAATCAAAAAATAGTGGCCTTGTATTGCCAATATCCACCTTCAGTGGAACATGATCCAGAATCTCACCCTCATTTAACCCGATTATCACAGGTGTCATCAATTCTATCTGAAAGTGTGTTATATTCCTGATCCAAACAAATCTGACTTATTAAAATCTGCTCTGTGTCACTCATTCCAATGGAACAATTCCTTTATCAAAATTAACACTTAAGTTAAACAGACCTAGGACTGTACCTAATGACCAATCCTACCCAAGCTTACAATTTCACCTCTCATGCTATACTCCATAAGTGACACAAATCAGATAATTCATGGTATCGCATAGTTTTAATATGAAAATATTTTTTTTCTATAGAAATAAAAAGGAGATCACTAGTCAACCTTTGACATCAGTTATGGCATCATATTAGTATGTTAGTAGAAGTAGTAGAATAGTATCTGAAACAGAAGTGCAGATAATGGAACAAAATGGAAAAGCTTTTTAATTTATAGATCCGTTTTTTTCCCCCCCACCTCTATTATCTCGTATACCACATTGTGCTGGTCCTAGATTTATTGTCAAGAATTGTGTGATTAGTGTTGCTCTCAATCCTCTCCTCATCAGACTGGCATTTATTAAGTCAAAATTGTGGTTAGATGTTTTTTTTTTTGAGATTTCTGAATATTTTGCACAACCTACTTTGTATATTCCTGTCTCTGTCCTGTTCTTGTTGCTATAAAATTTGATCCTAACTATATCTCTTATTGTTTTAGAGGTGGCTTTAATGTTAGATAACTTATTTTCAATGGTGGCTGTTATGGAGTTGGTAGGTAGAATTATATGCCTACTTTGTTATGGCTGTTGGGATTATTATTATTTGTTGATTTTTGTATTTTTCTTCTGTTTATTTTGTGGCATGATATTGGAAATAATTTGCCTATTTGGAGGAGTTTGAGAGTGTTTTCAGTGAATATGGCATGCAGTGAAATAATCATGAAGTAAAACTAATTCATCAAAATCAAAGGCTAAACAAAGTGTAACATGAAGATTAATAAACCAACTTATAAATGAATTCCATCAATACAAAATATCTATCTAAACATAATATTAAAAAAAAAGAAAAAAAAAAAGAAAAAAAAAAAAAAAAAAAGAAAAAAAAAAAAAAAAAAAAAAAAAAAAAAAAAAAAAAAAAAAAAAAAAAAAAAAAAAAAAAAAAAAGAAAAAAAAAGAGGGTTAACGTCTTCTCATTGTTTCATAGATTCTAAATGTTATACTTACTGGCTTCCTTGCTCCAGCAGAAGGCTGTGTAATGTCCAGAGCCAAAACCTTGGCCATGATGAATGATTATGGCTGATAGTTTATACAAGAACTGAGTTTGTCCATTCTCAGTTAAAGTTTGGGGTAGACAGAATGGCTTCATATTTAGAAAGTTTTCAAATGATACATGAGTGGCTATCTTTTCTCTATGGTTACCTTTCGACCATCTAAAATGAATATTAAATTTGTCATTTAGTATGGTGTTGCTTGAAGGAAAAATATAAGTAATATTTTTTCATATTGCCTGTGAAAATATAATAATAAATTTACAAGGTATTAAGTGCAATAATGAGCATTATTGTATTTTCCTTAAAAAAAAAAAAAAAAAAAAAAAATCTATATCTGAAAGACCTGATCATCATTTATTAATTAATACCCACTATAAAATCCAGTATTAATTCTAAAAATTGAAATAAAAATCCAATGTTATGTTTTTATAAAAAAATAAAAATAAAAAAAAATAAAACAAAAGTAAATGATGTAGGCATTAGAGAAAATATTGGAAAAGGATTTTTGTAAGGTGATATTTATAATACAAAAAACTTTTGAAAGCGTGAAACAGAAGAGAACTGACTGAAATTTAAATTATAAAAAGATTATATGAATTTCATTGACAAGGAAAAAAACAAAGCAGAGAGAGAGAGACACACACACACCGGAATCTTTTAAGATGAAGTCGTAGAATATGAGGTAGTTTACTGAGCAGCAACTGTTTTTTAATCTCAGTATAAATTTTTGGTGAAGAATTTGGCCTTTTCCTTCTACCTGTAAATAAATAGAAACAAGAAGCCAGTTTCATTTTGGTTTATCAATTTCAGTAGACACTTTGGAATAGAAGAATAAGACATCAAACAATAAGATGAGCTAAACACTGAATGAGGCAGAGACCCTATCTTGTATCAACAAAGATAAGTTTGTTCTTTAATGGAATATTCACAAAGAAATAAAAAAGAAACAACCAGTAAAATCTGAAGTATTACATTTATTACAATTTTGTAGGTATCTCCAGTAATTTTCTGGACAAAGAGCATATCATGATGAAAAAACAAATTTTTATTGTCAAAATGTTTATGTTATTAAAAAGGAAAGACCAAAGTATTTTTTGATCATTTTATTAAATTTTTTAAATCCTTTCTAGAATGTTGAAATTTTTTAATTCTTTCTAGCATTATCTGTCTATATTTCTGAGATGAGGTATTATGTACACTATTAACATTATTCGAACTATTGTCCTCATCTTTGAGGCCATATTTATCACAACGTTTCAGCCGTTCTACTCTCTGGGCTTCTTCAACCACCTGAAGGAGGAGGACAATAGCCTTCCTAGCATGTTGAAATTTGGAATAAAAATCTTTTTCTTGTGTCAACAGATTCCCGAAGTTTAGTATAGGAAATTTTAACATCGTTTTTTTTAGTAAAAAAAACACATCCATTTGGAAATTCCTGCAAAAATTAAATAATTGTTGGATTTCAAAGAAATTTTCATGACTTATTGACAAATGAATGAAATTATTTTTGAATGTGTGAGTTTTTTGTTAACATCTGTTACCCCACCCCACTTAATTTTATGAAATTAAAATCCTCCAGCTTCATATTTATATTAGTCAAAAGCAGGACTCCATGGAGAATGTAATGAATTTTTTTTTTTTTTTTAGAACAGAAACATCATTTACTGAAAATCTCTGAATCATGAAATAAAAAATGAAATAAAACTATGACATTATTTAAGAAAGCTTTTAAATGCTTTTATAAATAAGATATATTAAGGTCATTATTGTCTTAAGAAAAAAAATTTATTTTTGATGAATTTTGATTTTTACAAGAATTTTCATTTCTATTTAAATTAGAATAATTTATTAAGTTTTAACTTTTTAAAATTCTATACTAATTTCTCCCTTTTAGATGATATTAAGTAAAAACTATATTTACTAATCATAAATAGGAAAGATTAGTACAAATCAAACACCAATATCTAAAAAAAATTTGGGGGGCTTTAAACATGCCAATTTTTGTAAATATGCACGCCCAAATAAGAGCAATAATTATAAATTTAAAGCCAAAAAGTCTCTAAAATTCAATAAAACATTAGATTATTGGGAATATTTTCTTAAATTTTTAAGATTACTAAGTACTTAAAAATTACAATATAAAAAGGTGCTCAATATTTTTTTTACAGTTAAAGCCCCCATAGAACAATATTAGATAATAATCAATCTCTCAAACTTGCCAGCAGCTTAAATAAACAGCTACCACTGTGTTAAAAAATTTTAAGTTAAAAATATGTTTCAAGTCAGATTAACTATACTAAAAATCAGCCAATACCCCTCAAATAAAGTTTCAGAAAAGCATTTTATTTTAGGAAGATTTATTTAATAAAGAGAATTATAATTGCAAAGAAAAACAACTAAAAAAAAAAAGGCACTACTCAGCTATTTTAGAAAAAAAATAAAGAAAACCTTCTTCCAATTAATTAAAATTAGTTTAAATTGGTTTTTGAAATACAGCAAAGTATTTTGCTTATTGGAAATATTAAATTTGATCTATTAACTTGAAATTGATACTAAAATAAAAACTTAAGATTTTTCATTTTTAAAGCATCATTTTAAATCTAAGGAATCATGTTTTCAGTGGAGGTACCTACAATTATGGAAACATCTCAGAACTCAACAACTAATTTACAAAGTTGCATACAATGAAACAAGTGAAATAATGGCAATTAATTTTTTTTTAAAATATTATGATTCCTGATTATATTTTCTTGCAACAGAATGCAGATAAACAAAAATGTGCATAAACTTAACTGCGGGTCAGGGCTGTCATATAAAGAGGAGAATATAAACTTACAAATTAAACAATTTTAAAAGAAAACTTACTATTTTAATGCTTTGCCATTATGAATTAAAGATTTTTATAACTACATCAATTTCTCAATTATTAACATTTTCAAAGTAAAATATTTTTATAATTACTTATAAAATTTTAAAAGATTCACTTAAGTAAAAGTTCTAACTTACTATTGCAGGAATCACATGCATAAACTTTTCCTTCCAAGTATTCAGGTTTTGTGAAGTGAGAGAGCATTTCTGAAACAAATACAAGAACACACACATATATATATATATATATATATATATATATAAATAAAAATCTAAAAAAAAAAAAAATTTTTTTTACCACACAAAAAAGAAAGCTTAAGACAAATGAAGAAAAAAAAAAAAAAAAAAAAAAAAAAAAAAAAAAAAAAAAACTTGAAAGAGTCATTAACATATACAGCATTGTCAAAACACTTTAATCTCGTTTGTATAGTTGCTATTGTTTTTTTGTTTTTCTCTAGCTATGACACCTGATGGAGAATGAGCCTGCGAAAGTGTGTCAAACAGCAACAAGTATACAATATGAGATAATTTGATATCTGAAAAGAAGGAGGAAAAAAAAAAAAAAAAGGGAATTTATTCTATTTTTTTACCTGTGATATGGCATACATTACTGGCTATTTTTCCATTTGGGGAATTTCTTTGGTAACGGGCAGGAAACTCCAAAGATAAATCCATAAATGGTTCGTATGTTTGACATTTGTGTCCACAAGACTGGCATGTCACCTAAAACAAATACACAAAGAGGATTTAGATTTTTAAATGTAAATCTAGTATTTTATAATAAACACAAATCAGTTGGAAAAAATTTCTTGCAATCAGTGGTCAGATTTTTAAATCTCATTTCTAGAAAATGGAATGTCAATAAAAAAATGAACAGTTTGCCTCCTGCCCTTTTTTCTTTTTTTAAAAGTGTAAACAATTTTTTTATAATGCATTTTTTGTAATTATTTACACTATTTACATTGTTCAGACTGTTGTCCTCATTTTGTTACTATATTCATAATGTTTCGGCCATTGTATGCTCTGGCCTTCTTTAGGTGATTGGAATTTTAAACTGAATCCTTTATTTTGTCCACGGGGGCAGAGTGATCTAGTTCCACATGCCATGCCTCTTCTGGATCTCAGTTATCTCCCTTTAACTCAAGTTTTTGTTCACCACTGCAGTAGCCAGGTATTGAACTCACAACTCTTTGGGCCAAGTCACTGGATCCAATCAATACTTTTATCCACTGGGCCATGCTGTGAACAAGAACTTGGAGAGTTGAGTTAAAGGGAGATTACAGACATCTGGAAGAGGCATGGCACATGGAACTAGAACAATCTACCCTAGTGGATGAAATAAAGTGTTCCGTTTGAAATTCCAGTCACCCGAATAAGGTTGGAATGTACAATTGATGAAATGTGAATATAGCAACAAAGATCATGACAACAGTCCGAACAATGTAAATAGTGTAAATAATTACAATACCTCATCTCACAAATATAAACAGATATTGCATATTTTGTATATAATTTCCTGCTTGTTGCAAACAGATTTGATATCATTTCGATCATGTGATGAATAGTAAAAATATTTTCCCTTGGGAATGAGGAATGGTAAATTCGATTCTGCTTTATGAAAATTCTACAACTCTGAAACATCTCCAATAAAGAAAATTGCATTGGAAGGAATTGCATGGTGGGAAAAAAAAAAAAAAAAAAAAAAAAAAACTAAACAAAATTGCATGTGAAGAAAAAAAATGTTGCCTTGGAGGAGACAGGGAATACAGTGTAAGAGAGAAAAGAAATCACATGAAGAAGGGGGGGGATAAAAGAATTAAATTAGAAGCCAAATTCTTTGTTTTGTTTTAAATATAGTGATGAAAGTAGGATGAAAAATTACAAAGGGTTTTACCTCACTGACAAGCTCTCCTTGGAACGTATCTGCAACAACATCTCTGTAGTTCTTCATGTAACAGAGGTCATCTAATTCAGTTTGCACTTTGTCCAAAAGTTGGCTGCAATCAACAATAAAGCAAATTAATAACGTGGAAAAAAAAAAAAAAAAAAAAAGAAGTTACTTTAAAACCTTTTATTAGTTAATATTTCCAGGACTTATGAAAATCTGTATAAGTATAGAGTAATACTAATTCAATTCTAATAATGAACGGAGATAAATCAATGTAACAATGACATGAAAAAAACTTGTTAAAGTCCTTTTAACCTAGTTTGATGCTTAAAATTTCAATCTGTATTTTTCCCATTTTATAACTACTATCAAAATTTAAAACAATGAAAAAGGCATTTTTAAAATAGGAAATCCTCAAAATCTCATTATCACAACTTTAATTGAAATAGTTTACATGAATTTATTGAATCCTTTAAAATTTAATGTAAAAAGGATTCAATTTATGAAGAAATATTCTTGTAAAGTTAAAGAAAAAAGGATTGTGAAAATCTTATAACAACCTTAAAAACTCTTGAGCATCTTGTTGTGAATAACCACGAAAGGCAGGAATGTAGCTCCACATAGCTTGCAACAAAGTGTTAGGACTCACTACTGTCCACTTGCCAGACCAGAGAACATGGAACAGGGCACGTAACTCTTCACACAAAGAACTGGAAAAAAAAAAAAAAAAAAACCACAAAAAAGAAAGTTAAAGAAAAAGTTAAAGAAAAAGTTAAAAAAAAAGAAAAAAAAAAAAAATCCCCCAAAAGGAAAATTTCAATGTTCAAGAGTTTGTCAATTATAATTCAGATGAATTATTGACAAATTTAAGTATATTTGATAATTTTGAATGATCACAACTGTTTTACATTTTTTACACTTAAAAAAAAAAAAAAAGACCTTACAAAGAGCTTTACCCATTTTAAGAAGATCAAACTTTTTGACCCCCTCCTGTTTTCATTTTTCTCTTCCTTTCTTACTCATTACTTTTTCTCCTTAAGCCAGAAGTGAGAACTCCATTTTGATCGAAAAAATTACTCTCCCTACTGCATTGTTGTATTGTTGCTTGGTTGTGCAGACCTATTTTTTGGGGCAGGGATCAGGGAGATTGGGCAATAGGAAATTGTCATTTACTGGAAATAAATGACTATAAAGAAACTGACAGCAATTTCTCATGGGTGCTATCATTTTGGTTTTGGCCAAATATTCTGCAGTACAGACTAAGCTAAATGACATTCCCAACACACAATATAATAAAAATACATCACAAAACAGGTTGCATTGTCTATGCTGGTTTGGAAATAGCAAAAAGTGTTAGTGATTAATCAATTTCTTTATGATTTATCAACCTTTTGTGGGTTATTTAAAGCCAAAACATTTTAGATTGTATGATCAATTTGTTTTCTGCAAGTGAATATTTCATTAACAATTATTTTTTTATGAGAGACTACAATGATTTTTTTTCACATACAAGTCCTACTATTTAACCCATAGCAAGGAGAAGATGATTCATATTTTTCTCAAGGTAATTTGCATGTAAGCAATTATAACAAAGTCAAATGGAATTCAAACTCTGCTCTTCAATTTCTTTTTCTGAGTCTCTATCCATTATGTCACCAAGTGCTAATGAATTTATTATACAGACGTTAGGGACTGACATTTCACAATGTCTTGAAAAACTAATGTATAAGTATGCCTTGAAAATGTATATATATTTTGACAGCAGGCAAACAAAAAAACAAAAACAAAAAAACAAAAACAAAAAAAAAAAAAAAAAAAAAAAAAAACACTGTCCACAGCAGCAAAAGTGTTAAATACTCTGAGGCAAAAATGGTTCAGCATTGACTGAAGTATTAAATTTGAAAGCACAAAAAACACTTGTATAAAGAAAAAAGAGTATTAATTTCTGGTGTGGATAAACATTTGCACAAAATGTAAGAGTACAAGGAGATACAATTTTTTTAAAATTAAATTATTCCAGATATTTTGATATGATTATGATTAAACTGTCAAAATTAAAAAAAAAAAAAAAAAAAAAAAAAATCAAACCAGCAAGAAAAATGTATACCTGTCTTTTGCTGACTAAACTGAACATAGCTTCCAGAAGGTATGAAAGTTTTAACTTACACTTTATGTAGTTAGTTTCCTTTTTACATTGAAAGTTAAAACATTAATTAGTTGTAGAGTATCCTTTAAACACTATCATTAATATTGTGTCAAATTACAATTTTTTTTTTTTTTAAACAAAGAAGAAAAAGGGTAAATTTGCTGATCAAAATTCCTAAAATTTAAAAGTTTAAAATGAGATACCAGCAGATGTTTGAACTACTTACACTCTCTTCTCTGGGCGAAGTAACTTTGGCTCCATTGTCTGGGAGATGGACAGTAGTTTTTGATGTACAGATTGTTGATGGGTAGCACCACCATTCAAGCCACCACTTCGAGGGGAAGATCTCTGGAGAAAGAAAAAAAAAATTCAGAAATTCTTAATATTTATCACTCAAAAATGTCTTTGTTGAAAATAATCCAATATGGCAAAGAATGAAATATGTATAAACCATAGTTATAAAAAATAAATATGTTAATAAATATTTAACCCTTAAAGGAAGAAACATGCTTTCTTAAAATATAGTTAATTGCTTTGGTTTTCATAGTATCTATTTTATTGGATTTGTAAAACAGAAGAAATCCTTTCTAAGACCACATTTAACTTGGATCAGCAACTTTTCTTGGTTGCTGCCTCAAAATTAACAAAGATAATTATTATTACAAACACTTTAAAAACAACTTCTTTTTTTTCATTTCTAAAATCCCACTGAACATTGAGTTATGATCACTTGCCAATACATAATTCATGGGCATTTTGGCTAAATTTGAAGTCATTCAGAATGGTCTGTGTAGCAGTGAAGAGTAGCAAATAGCTTGTATGAAATTGTACATATTAACAGCCCAATTCTACTTATGTTTGGTATTGTGATCTAATTGCTACAACTATTGTTCTTCTTTAACAGGTTAAACCCTAACACCTAATGACTTGCTGATACATTATTTTTGGATATTTCAATTAAATTTCACCATTTCAGAAGAAATCAGCAGTGAAGAGTAGCAAATGGCTTGTACAAAATTGAACAACCTGATTCTATTTACAAGGTTCATTCCAGAAGTTTTGACATGTTTTTAGTAAAGGCAGTTATAACTGTCTTAGACTATTGTAATTTTAGTATATCATTACTATACATCTAATAATGCAACCTGCCAACTTTTGTTATTCCAGACTGAAGGAGATGGATGTAACATCTGTTTGAACACACCTTACTAAACACTGCTTGTCACAGATAACTATTTTGCAAAATATAGTCAGGACATGAAAACAATTTGGAAGCTCACAATGCAATAAAGTTTGGTGTTGACAGAGAGGGAGCATCAAAACTGTCCCTCACCCTTCCTACAGTTCAGACCTTGCTCCCTGTGACTTTTGGTTGTTCCCCAAGCTGAAGGAGAATTTCAGGGGCAGTCATTTTGAAGACATTGAGAAGATAAAGGAGGCTGTGACAAGAGTCTTCACTTTAGATGATTTCCATGGGGCCCGTCCTGAAGTGGCTGGAGTGCTACAATAAGTGAACTAAAGTCAGAGGATCTAACTTTAAAGAAGATTAGAGTTTAGTACTTCTTTAAAATTAATAAATATCTCCTGAAAAAGTTTAAAAACTTTCAGAATGCACCATGTACATGTATAATTCTTTCCAGTATTTAGATGCCAGAGCATGACTGTAAACTAGAAATTTATTTATTAAATTTATTGAATTATTTTACATTATTGCATGACAAGATGTAGCAGAAGTATAAATTGCAGTTTCGTAAGAGAAACAAGTCCAAAGATTTGTCATGGTAACATGAAATAACAAAAGTGCATAACTGTTAGCTGTTCAATAATCTGAGTAAGCAACTAGTTTTAAGTCTATTGTTTAGTAAAAGAGTGTCAGTAAGAATTTACAAGATTAAAATTTCATTAAAAAGTAAGGAAGGACATGAGCTTATACCTGAAAACATTCGACAGAAGTATGTCTGTTGTTGATATGACTGTTGAAGTTACGACAATTGGCTGCAGAGTTGATAGCACCAGATGAATTGGAGTGATGCGAATTGTGAGGACAGCTAGACAAGTAAGATGAACCACAGCTGCCTGACATGGGTGGAAATGGCATATTCACAAAGAAATGACGGAACTTCTCCAAGTGTCTATAAAGATGGGTGAAGTGAGAGAGAGAAGATAAAAAAAAAAAAAAAAAACTCTTACAAAGACCTGAAGTTAAAAGGGGGTAATAAGCAAGTGGAGTAACCAGCAAGAAAATATTTTTTTAAAAAGTGGGTGCTGCACATGTAAACAGAGGGGGGAAAAATGGGGCAATATTAAAAACATTGACTAAAGGCATGAAAGCAACCAAATTATTACTGTTAAGAGAAACACAGAAGTTGGCAAAGAAAACCGATTTCTCAACATTCACTTTTAGCAGTGGATATAGAACTACATTGGATGGACCAGGCAGCTAGATGAGAGATTCCCTCCTTCATAGAAATAGTCACTCAACACTACCAAGACGACAATGGAGGTTGGGAGGGATAGGGTGCAAAGAATGTCTTGTATTGCAGGCAGTAAAATTACAATTACTTTCAAAGTTGATAACAGTTCAAGGTAAATACAGAGAATTCTGGAGCAAGATATTTTTGAGTGGTACAAGTTACAACAAAAAGCATGAAGCTAAAGAACAAATCTTTGCAAGACAATACTCCTTTCACATTTTAGAGCTGACAATTGCCCACTTTGCCAAAGACAAGTTTCTAAAACAACAAATTAGTAAAAGTCTTTAACGTCTCTAACAGAAAAATTGTGGTTCATCATTAAGAGATGTATGGCATCAGTTCTCAACTCATTATCTATACTGATGACAACTACTTACTCCTGTTTTTATGGTAAGCCTGATTGGTTTGAGAAAGTCAAATTGGCAGCAAATCTAAAAAAAAAAAAAATTACCTACAATCTGTTGTAACTGGGGCAAAGAATGGCTTGTTAATATTAATGCCTCCAAAATGAAGCTGCTCTCTTGTTGGAGAGAACCTTTACTGCCTTCAGTATCTGTCTATATTTCTGAGATGAGGTATTATGTAAATTATTTACATAAGCTGACTATTCATTCATGCATTGAATATTGCTGTCATATCTAGTCTAATGCTTTTGCTATGCATTTAGAGATTCCTGATAAAATACAAAGAAGAATATGCAACGCTATTGGTCCTGACATGACATCTCAGCTT